ACGGTCTGTTAGGGCAGCACTACTGCTATGGGCCTCAAGCGCCTGCAGAGAGTGGTAAAGACTGTGGAGAAGACCACTAGGACTCCACTGCCCTCTCTGCAGAGCATTTACCACCGCAGGGTGCGTAGGAAGGCTGCCTCCATTCTCAAAGACCCCACCCACCCCCAGCACGGACTGTTCACCTCCCTACCCTCTGGCCGGAGGTTCAGAAGTGTGAAATGCAGGACCTCCAGACTGAAGAACTCTTTCTTTCCCTCTGCCATCAGACTCCTAAACACCTGAGGAGTTTACTACCAGGAATACGTCATGTACTGTCGACCTGTACTGTTTAAATTCTTAGTTTGCACATGCATAATTGCACATTGACTGTTGACTGCTGCACATGCTGCTCCCATGCAGCATACATTCTCTTATTATATTCCTATATATTTTTATTATATTGCTGCTTAAAATGCCTTAGATTTTGTGTTACTTATTCATCTACTTTATATTTCATTTGTATTTTGAGGCAATCATGTGGATGGCAAAGTAAGAATTTCATTGTACAGGGAAACACGTTTCCTAACTGTGCATATGACAGATAAACACTTTGACCTTGACCTTGAGTAGCTGTACAACCCTTCAGTACAAACAGACTATTTCTGAACATGAATATCTTGATGTCACCTTGAGTACCAGCAGATGCCGCTCACCTTGAAGGTGACACTGGGCTCTTCATTGAGATTGACCTTGGTGATGATTCTTCCAGTTTCCTTTTCCACATCAAAAATGCTTCCGCTGTACAGTGACCTTTCCTGGTCCACTCTGTAGCGGACAAAACTGGCCGGAGTACCCTTTAAGAAAGAAGAAAGGAAAAAAAAAAAAACGTCAACCGCATCCATTCAATAACAGTCCACTTATTTGCATATTCTAGTTTGTCAAATGAAGCTGTGAAGATGGATAGACGGTGTGTCAGTGCAATCAAGTACTATAAAATGCACTGAAGCCTTAAAAGCAGAGCAATACTGTTTAGAACTCTTAATGCGCCATTTTAATATTTCATTATGGGACAGAGCTGAAGTGGTTTAAGTAGGCAAAGGCTGTTCTTCGCTTCTTATAACCTGAAAAATTACTCTAATGTCTCACATCATACCCTCACCCAATTTAACAACTCTTAGCTTGTGGGAGTCCTCAGTCTGTTCCCCATCAGACAGCCTAATATAAACTCAGTTATTCATTGATTCAGACCCATTTCCTTTCATATGGAATAAAAAAAAAATCTCCATTAAACTCACCCTGCTAGTCCCCAGAGTAAAACACTTAAATTCATTAGTGAGAGCCTGGACTTTAATATGACCTGTTCATTAAGATTAATTACAGTACCTGATTACTAATCACCTCTACATCATATGTTATTCTAGTTTCATCCCATTGGACCTGGAATTCAGTCAGATTTTTAATAATCTTTTTGAAGCTCTGCTCCCTTGCCTGAAGTGATTTTGCTCCCCAGCGTTTGGGGTAAAACCTGACTATAGACAGGCAAATCCTTTATTAGCAGTGGATCCCTCGGCAGGTTTACTCACACAAATGTGTCTCCAAGAGGTTATAAAACTGACCGAATTCACTAAAAGGATTCTCAGAAAAAGGGGCTCATCTCCAAAAGCTCTTTAAATTGTTTTCTTACAAGTAATGGAAAAAATATGACAGGACCATTAAAAAAACACCATCCTCAGGAGAATCTAATACAGTGGCTTCAGCAGCAAGACCTCTACAGAGATGTCAACAGAGATGGTGAAAAACTCTTTATTCAAGAATGAATATACACTCACCAGCCACTTTATTACGTACACCTGTACAATTGTACGCAAATCAATGCAACACCTTTGTCTTAACATCTGTGTTTATGAAGCTCAAAGTGTTTCAGTTTCTGGTGAAATTATCATAAATGTATAAATTCAATTATAAGTTTATTATTGAGGTTGCAGTTTAAGGTGATGTCATACTGAACTGCATGATATTTCAGAGGTGTTCCTAATATTCTGACCCTCTCATGTATGTCGCTGAGGAGGACAAAAATATAGAGACACCTCTAAATATCTCATCCATAACTTATAATGAATGTACTGTGGTTACAGCAACATTTTACACCATCTCTGTCAGATCAGCACCTTCGTTCCTGGCATTCCACTCAGATCATGAATGTTTCATGGCAGCTGTTGAGTGCACTCATCGTGTCATTATCATTGCAGATGAGAAACAGAAATGTAAACATTTAGTACTTCAGCCTCAAAATAATTCTTCCTTATTGCAACCCACAGCAGAACTCTAGGAAAGATTCTTCTCAGTTAGATTTGCTTTGGTTGTATTTTGTTTTACAAGGATAGAGCTCTCATTAGTATAAAAAAGCCAGTGTATGAATTTAAAAAAAGCAGGCTCAGAAACAGTGGAAAGCACTGAACGATGCTTCAGGGACCTGCGACGGCGAGGCTTGAGTGTGGAGTGTAAGACAGTAAAACCAAGACATTAAAACAACTTGATTTGTGAAATAATTAATGACTAATGTCATTTACAAGTGATTAAAAGACTAGGGCCTCTAAAAGGTGCAACTTTCTCTGCTGTGATGAAGTCAGAAAAACAGACTCTTCAGATTTGTGTAGATGAATAAAACCTCTTACTGGAACATTTGTTTCCATGGTGATCTCCTCTCTTCTTCAGGGTGATATTAACATTGATGTTATGGGGATGAGTGGCACTGCTAAAAGTTCTGTCATTTCTTAGGAACCATTTGTATTACTTCTCCCTAGGTACAGATGGGCAGATATTATGCCTTCTCTCTAAGCTAAGCCCCCATTTTACAAAAAGGTGTTTTTGACAGGAATCCTGTCAATAAAATGCTTTGAGTGCCCAAATTCAAGTCAATAAGAAACTGAGTTAGTGGGATCCCATTAGGAAACCTAAGCCTTCTCTCTGTCAAAAGCACCTCCTAGAGTCACTCCCATGTCTCACTCACTGTGCTCATGGTAACGGGTGATGATTGCCTACCTATTATTTGTACTTTAGCACTGCTGTATATTTTCTACTATAAGAATTTCATTTACTATATAGGGATGGTTCTGGGTAAAATCCTGTAAAAGGCACAAAACACAAAAGGTCACTTAAAAAGAATGATTTTAGCAATGCGTAGACAGCAAGAGGAAGACCAGTAGGAGGGCAAGTCTCCTTTTGACAGGCAAAGTGAGATGTACGCAGTCATTGTGGTACTCTGGAGATGTTCTACCACCCACAGCTGGGACTGACAGGCATCCATATCCCTCAGCGTTTATTTGCTGCATAGAGTACACAAGCTCACCCTGCCCTGGTGAGATCTCACCAACATGAAGGCCACTAATAACGCGCATCAAGTCCAACCATACAGGAGTGTCTTGAAAAACACCTTCAGAGCTGGAAGCGATTACAGCAAGGCGTGGATGTCACTAGGGATTCTTATCCCCCCTTTCACAGTTGAAATTAAACATAAAAAGCCTCAACGCCTTAAAAGAGACAAAAAAGTGGTGTAGTGAAGTTTTTATACAGGGGAAAAAAAACACTATCACATTCAAAAAGAAATAAAGGATGTGAGCAAAAGCCTGCTGACTCACCAAGTGCAATAAAATATTAAGGTGCCAGTAACGGTGAATGACATGGAACCAAACATTCTATATTTAGTTTCCTAAATATACATGTTAAACTACTGATAGACTCAAACTGAGGTACTACTCCTACAAAAAATGTTGTTCATTGCTCTTGATTGCCTCCTTTTATAATCTGTAGTCTCAACATGGGGTCACAAACTCTCTTCTATAATTTTGTTCCTTGGTTCACAAATCCATCCATCCATACATACATACATTTGTTTGTTCATGGCTCCAGTCATACAGTGAGATAAAGCAGTCAGAGGGGACCTGGTAGATGACTCATAGAAGTGAAGCTGCTAAACAGAATCCCCTCAGAATTAGAACAACTGGTGCGGAATTAAAATGCAGCTCTAATGAGAGCACAGCGGTCAGAAAAACATCCTTAAAATGCACCATGCAAAATGTTATGGCTAAATTAGATGTTCTGACAGCAGAAGGTAAAAATCACCAACCAAGGCCTTAATCTCTGCAACCTTTACTAAAAACCCAGCTGGTATCAACAAAGCTGCATTATGCACTTTGAAATTTAACCAACAATGTTGTATACGTCACATATTTTCAATACAAACTTGAAGCATCTCTTTATACTCACCGGTGGGTCTTGGTCCTCAGCAAAAACAGTTGTGATGACTGTTCCTTTCTCTGCATTGGGCGCCACCATGCCCAGGTACAGTGCTCGGCTAAAGACGGGGGCAAAGTCATTCATGTCCTAAAAAACAGTAAGGGATACAACAAATGTAGGTGCAATTATCGATTGGTACTATCTGAAACCTGACTGGATTTCACCTGAACGTGGCAATTATTTGACACTGAAATTTTCTTTGTCAGCACAAGGCAAAATGTTCAGTTACATCGCTGTGGATTAGCGGCTAAAAAGAAAAGGGCAGAACAGATGCCACTTTTGTGGCAGATAAGATTTATCAGTGTATCACAGTAATGCTTTTGCTGATGCTGTCAGTACAACAATATTGCAGCAGTGCATATTTTGCAGCTGCTGCTTTGTTTGATTTCAGTTAACATTTGAAGTTATTGCGGACTCAGGCAAAATTTTCCACTTCGATATATCACCACGTCCCCTACTTGTCCTTGTACTTACAGAACTGTGCATCTGAGCTGAATGTTACTAAGCATAAACACACGCATAAACTGTAATCACAAAAAAATAAAAGCCACTAAAAATGTGAGCATACGATGTAATGCTGCTGGTTTAATAAAACTAAAATTATGGCTTGTGTTTTCTTTTTCCCTCAGGCTTTTGTCAATGAAGTTGCAATTAATCACTGCATTTAATTAAACTGACAAAAATAGCAGCTGTGAAATTAAATGTTTTGTATTTATTGCATTTTTATGCATTTGGTTATTCCTTACTGATAAACATACATATTCTACTCTACATTACCCGATGATGGGAGGTAGATAGATGAGCTTCTTATCCAAGTAAAATTTTATTCATTGAGTCCAATATCACAAATCACAAATTTGCCTCAAGGGGCTTTACAATCTGCACAGCATATAATACCCTCTGTCCTCAGACATGTGAATCAGAGAAGGGAAAACTTCCCCCAAAAATCCCCTGAACAGGAAGAAAATGGAAGTAACATCAGGACTGTCACTGCCAAATAACATGACAGATATAGGAACCTATTTCTGCCCATTGTAGTAAGTATTTAGATGATTACAGTTATTTTAATCTTGCATGAAATAACAGCCCGCATAGCCTGTGCAACTGTTTGTTTTCAGTGTGGTGTTGCCCAATTGACCTTTGAGACACTGGTATTTAATTAGAACCATGTCTCATTTCTTGAACCAAAAAATAGTTATGTAGACATGATAACAAACCAAGGCAATGTCAGGAGTCCTGAAATATCACACTGAACAAGGGGGGGGGCTGACACATTAACAAAAAAACAAAAACAAAAATGATATATGAGCCACAATAACAATGTTTCTGTGAAGCACTGTGAACACTACTTTATCACATGGTTTCTCTACATTAAATCCCTTTTAGATGATGAAACTGTTTTGTTGGGATTCAGTGATTTACGGCTTCCTAGAACACATGAGAAAACTCATCACCGCTGGTTTAAATCACCCTTGCCCTGTCACTACAGTACAGCAGAGCTCCAACACATTGTGCCCTGCAAAGAAATGAAATTTTGTTAACTGTGCAACCCTTGCTTTCCAGTACAAGAATGAAAACTCAGTAAGCCATTCATACATCTCTCAGGAATAGCTGAGCTCTATAGTATAACTGCAGGGGTCTGATCTTCTCTTCTCTTGACTTTCCCCTCTACTTTCCACTGTTTTGACGGAGCCATGGGCAACAGCATGTATTCCATAACTCAGTGGTCCAGGGGAGCCTTCCTTTGATCTATACACAGGTTTAGTGTTTCCTAACAAAAAAATCTATGATCCAGTGCTTGCTTTGAACAACAAAGTTTGATCCTTACACTGCAAGTGTTCAGAAGAAATGTGTGAACTGGATGGTTGCAGACACACTTGTCTTTGCTTAAAACATGCATGTGCTACATATGTGTGTACACACACATACTGTACACACACAGGGTGTCTGTTTTACATTTTAAAGAGTAAAAATAGAAGAAAAGTTTAGGAGACTCATTTGGAACAGCAAGACGTACAGGACACTCAATCCATCACCGCAAGGCATCTGGAGAAAGAGACAACAGTACAAGGGGAAATCAAACACAACTTCAAATAACCCTCTGGATGTGTTACATGAAGGAGGAAGTGGAATCCACTCGCTCTAGTCCCCGAGAAGCTTGCGTGAATCTTTTAGGCTCATTCAATTCATGTCTGCTATTTGAAATAGAAGACACACCGGTTTGATATCAGTGGCTGTGCGATGCCTTATCCTATCAAACACCATTCCTGGGGTGACCACATGAACGCCGTAACAAAGCTTGCCCTTACTGGAGGACGTTGTCTCTCTACAGGTTGGCAGACAATGTGATGAGCCTGCCTGAATAAGCTTATGTGCCGTCCCCCATTCAGTGTATCATAGAGAGCTAAATTCTGCAGACTTTGAGATAGTCACTGGGGGTGGACTAAATTCATACAAAGATAAATGTGCATGCACACATTTTAAAGCATAGAATTTCTCACAGAGCAAAAATGCACATGCCCATTAACACAAACACTCACATATGCACACATGAAAAGTATCACAACACAAGGTGTGTAATCCTTTCACTGAAATTCAGCTGTTAATCTTGTGAAAGGCTGGAAAGGGAACACACGCCCCTCAAAAACCTGACGTAATTGCTGTAACAAAGCTATTGAGTTATTCATATTTAGAACAGTACTGGGGGCAATGCAGAAACATTTATCCATCAATTCTCTTTGTCCTGATGATCCTGCTAGGACATGCAGACCAGAAGGCCAAAATATCTTTTCCAAAGGAAATTCATTCAGCATTTTCTCTGAACGACATAACACAATGTCATATCACAATAGCAGCCCAGGTGCGTTACTGTACAATGTGTCTCCAATGCCCTTTTGGACTGAGGCTCATGTGGGCTATTACTGCTGTAAAACTCAGCTAATGACTCACCACATATTCACTGCCAGTGCTGCAGATCCTGAGGGACAATGAAGATAGATGGAAGGAGAACAGACCACAGAGTCTGTGGTGGACCAGCTATGTGAGGGCTCTTACCGTGACACGGACCGTGACGGTAGCTTGCCCTGGAGGCATGACCCCTACTTGGTCAACAGCTTCAACCTGGAAAGTGTAGGAGGTTCCCATGCCCATTGCTGCCAGGCTTTCGAAATCCAGGGCCTGCAGCACAAATAACTCCCCTGTGATAGCATTCAGAGAGAACAGCTGCCTGGCAGATTCAGTCCGGATCCAGTAAGTGATATTGGAGAAGAGGTCTGCGTCCGTCGCCTGTGAGGAAGATGACAAAGAAGAGAGGGGATAGGAAAACAGTATGTTGAGGACAACGTACAGTAGGGCATGAGTAGAGAGGGAGATGGAAGGAGAGGAAGAAAGAACCATATATTTTCAACTGGGACCTCATATACAGACATGCTTGTATAAGGTGGTGGGTATAGGCAGTGGACAATGATCTTCATGCTGTGTGGGTTACTTACAGTACATCAATCCTTAAGACAGTAGGTTCTAATTAAAGAAAAACTATGTATGTCATTGCATGAAATCACAACTTTCAAAGTAGATATAATTTACAAAGGCTCCTGCACTATGGAAATTATTAAGATTATTATTTGACACAAAATGAGCTCTGTGAAGCTGTACTTATTCACAGCAGTGTGTTGAGCTGAATTCCTAAAACTGCATGCTAGTAGATCTAACATATAACTATCGTAGTGTGTTAGCACACTAACATGGTTAATTAGCACTAAACCCAAAGTACAGCTGAGACTGGGGAGAATGTCATTATTTTTCCCCAGCTGTGGTAATAAAACAAAGTACTGGAAAAACAGAACCATTCACCTGAATACTAATTTAATTCAATCTCTAAAGACAGAGACTCCCTGTACTAAAGTTCATTACAATTGTACAACAGGTATTGGAAAATTTCAATATAAACATAAATGGCAATTTAACTGTGCAAGAGAATAAGTCTGGCAATCACTTGGGTTCACATAACACATACAGGACTTAATTGCTCGATTCCAGATTTTTATTTATCAGATATGATCTCTGTGTGTTGGTGGTTCACATTCACTGTTCGTAAATGATAGCTATCCAGTTCGGGTATGAATGCCACTGAGGTCCTAAACTGCAAAGCATGTGTGCATTTAACTGAAATGTGAGCCAACTACATGCAAGAATAACATCATCTGTGCACCGATCAAATTGTGCAATTACTGCGATATGTTCTTTCCCAGTTTGGGACAGTCAGAAGATTCTCCATAAATGTCCTACACATCTGAAATGTCCTTGTCTCTCCACTGACCCACATCATTGCTGTTGCCCTCTTCTGTGTTTATTTTTACTGGTCTGTGAGACTAATTCAGTTTGTTCATATTCCATGAAAAAGAAAAAAGAAAAAATCAGATCTGAGTAACTTGGAGGAAAAAAAAAAAAAAAGGATACAATTCACTTCAACAGTACATAGCTTTATTAGAACATACCAGCGGAGAACCATGACTGCTTGTATGGAATCTAATGCCAATCCACTGAGTAAATGTCAATATATTTCACTGTATAACTGAAAACTTGTACCCATTTGTGCTGCTAAAGAAAAAGCCAGATGATCATCAGCATCAGTAGGTTTCATTCTCTGGGGACCGGTGAAGTAAAAAACTACAGTATATCAAACTCTGGACCAAAGTGCTGGACCGACCGACCAACCAAGGTAAATATATTCAGGTACTTGTACAAGCAGCTCTCAATCTACCCAACTCAGTCACCCCCTTTCCTCAAAGTCTGTCTCACCAAATCATTTTTGCTCTTTGGGTGTCTTGCCTGCAACCCCTGTCCATTACGAGTTGAGGCGATGTTGTCTTGGAGATTAATGGTGTCACAGTGCTGCTGTCACTCACACCCCTCATCCTTAACCATCACCCTCCCCTCTCGGTTTATTCCTCTCCGAGATGTGTCGCACACAGTGTGCCATCAATTCCTCACCCCTTGCTCTGTGCTTCCACAGAGTTTCCCTATGCCTCACTTCATTGCAAATGTGTATTTACATTTGACGGTGCTGAATCTACCCACACTGATGAAACATTTTTCAACTTTTGTGCATTGTTAATGTCTGCCAGGAGAAAAATGATCCTCTACTGAGGTGTGCTAATGACTTGACAAATCGAGTCTTATTTTGTTTTGGTCTAAAACACCCTGAAAGCTGTCATGATGAGAGAGAGAAAAACCAAACAAACAAAAACTACCAAAAATATTTCTCTCTGCTGTGTGTGTATAAGACTGTGTATGTTTGTGTTTGTGTAAATGTTCCCATCTGGAAGCATTTGACATGTTAAATACTAAATTGCCTGCACTTGGAGTTAAAAGTTACTAAAACCTTTGTTGCAAGCACATGTGCTGCAGGATAAAAAGGTCGACAGGAGACACACAGGGATGGAGAAAAAGTGAAAATTTTGGCAATAAACACAAATACTTACACTCAGCCTCAGGATCATAGTTCCCACAGGGCTATTCTCAGGTACATTCACCACATATGCTTGCTGGGAGAAAACTGGGCTGTTGTCATCAATATCTGTGACCTTGATTGAGAGGGTCAAGGTGGTTCGACGTGGATCCACTGCCCCATCTGAGGCCTCTACCACCAGGTCATACTGGCTCCTAAGTTCCCGATCCAGAGGCACTCTTGTGTAGATGCTCCCATTTGCACTGATTATAAACAGTTCAGGATAATTCACAATCCGGTAGTGCACCTGGCCGTTAACCCCTGCATCGGGATCTGTGGCCTGGGGAGATTTAAAAAATGATCAGAGGGCTCTGTTATGATATACAGTATAATCATCATTATGTCATATGTAGTGTGCAAGAAGGAATGCATCCTCCCAACATTAATATCTGGGACACGCTCTCCCACATAAAATAACTGGAGCAACATGAGTAGTCATCTTTTCCAATGACTAAACAGAGAGACAAAGTGAAATATAGCTGGGGAAATCAAGCACAATAGTCAGGTAATGTTACAATGGCAATTATGGACTGAGAGACTTCATAATGTAGGAAGAAGGAAAAAAAAACATGGACTTGCTAAATGAAACATCAATAAGCGATAATCACTGAAATAACGCCCCTTTCCCTACTGACACTGCTGAAGTAAACCGTCAACCTGCTGTAAACCCTAAGAATCAATTTACATACATCAGTAACAGCAGGAGGAGATAAATATTTACCAATACACACCATATGAATAGCTGAAATGCAGACGTTTTCCCCTTTAGGTAAACAGCAGCTGTTGTGAAGTAGATGTGATCCATTACATGATCCATTAGAGCTTGGCTTTATCTTAATGCCCGACATATGTACAGAGGCTTCCACTACAAAGCCATGTAAACTACAGTGCTGCAACCATGCTAAAACAACTCACATGTTTAAGTCTCACTTCATCTTCTTCATACTGAGGAAGGGTAATCATTCATAGACTCTAAAGGCCAAATCTCCTTTTTCATGCAAGCTCTAGTTTTTATTAAAAGGAAAGCTGAATCATCTTCTCAAAGCATGCATGCCATTATTAAAATAAAAAGTAAAATAAAAACAAAGAAAAAGATCAGAAAGAAGAAGCTTAAGAGAGACATATGGTGACAGATTTAATTCCTATATTTCCAGTGTCATGGTAACTGAACGAGAAAGGAAGGATAGAGCAAAAAAAAAAAAAAAAAAAAAACACAGGAGGGATCAAGCCACATTTCATTTGTTTGGCAATAATTTCTCTCCCTCAGTTAAAGTAAGGACAAGACAGCTTAAAAGCGGGGTGGGGGATATCCTGTGAGGGACAGCGGACAAGGGAGGAAGATACACATATTGCTGCTAAAAGCTGCCCTCACTTTGTTTTACATGGACGTGCCTGACAAATATTCAAAGTCAAGTCTAAACGCTGGACCTCAGCATTAAGCCCTATGCAAAACAGATTAATCTGTTTTGAGACAACATCAATATGAACATATAGACCACTACCTGTCTGCAGTGGGAACCTAAAAATTGTCACTGCTCTTTCCTTGTATAGAAACTAAATAAAGTGTTTCTGTGAAGCACTGTGAACACTACTTAAACACTATATGTCTGAAGTCTCTGATAGAAAATGTAAGTACTGTTTCATAGAGGTCTGCACATGACAAACAGAGCTAGTCATGTTGTAAGGCCTGCCTTGGTGCAGACTGTATGTCTTTGGGTGAGCTATCACACACGCACAAAAGTGTTAGCACCAGATTATTTGCTTATTTAGCACTCATGTCTAAATCACAGCTACAGTCTTCTTCACTGCTATAAGCAGTAGTGATGGGAATCTTTAACAGAGTTTTCAATCATGACCCAGAAGTTAGTTGGTGACATCACCTGGCACAGACTTGTGATTGTGAGATAGTGGGCTGGCTCAGAGTATTGATTGTGAGAGCGGCAGAACATCCTGCGGGTGCTGGTGGTTTCAGCACAAATAGCAGCTTGAGCCGGTGAGTACAGTCTTTTAAAATACAGGCTCATGCAGACCTCTAATATATTGTACTTGAGAAATCTGTCTGATTTGTGTTTTATTTCCTTCTTTTTGCATTTCTCAAAAAGAGCATTTTCATCTTGCTTTAGAGGACAAATGCTCAAAGGTAAAATTTAGTCTTTATTGACCACCTACGCTGTAGGCAAAATGATGTCTTGTTACACCATATTTTCAAAAATAAAATTAAGCATGGATGTTTTCCTTTTTAAACCAAAGAAAATAAGCATATGTGCATCAAAATAAATGCAGCGCAGCAATGCTTGCAAATGTCTTGAAAGCAGCAGGATAAAATTATCAGACTCACTATATCAAGAAATGTGCTTGGCAAAATAATGAACAGCATTATTTTAATAGCCTCTTCAAATAGCAACAACTCTACATGACGCTTCCATGTTGTGTCTGACATGAATGCTAATCAATTAGTCCTCCGGTCATCTGCACGCTCAGATCAGGACTCCCTGCTACAGAATTAACTTATAGGGTGCAGGACTTGTCAATCATGGAACAAATGGCTCAATTAGCACAACCAGCAACTGTTAGTTGTGATAACCTAGTAAATAATCCTCAGTCTATGTGAGTGTGTGTAAAATAAGAGCAGGTGTGGACCAGTTCCAATTACAATCCACTGATAACTCGAAATGCTTTAAGGCCACCATTAAGCTATGTAATAGCATTGTGCATTTGCACAACAGTCATCTTCACCGTTAGAATTTGCCTGAAGGCTTGTGGCTGGCTATGTTATTACTTCATCTCTGCAAGCAGATTTGGCCTTGGCAGTCCAGGAAAAATAAACAGCTTTTACAGTCGAACATCACATTTAATGTGAAATAAGTAGACAGTAAAAGTAGCTTGATAGTGTCTATATCTGCATCTCATCTATTACTTGCTCTGTCATTTGACTTTTACTTACTGTGCCATGTTTTGATATGGACAACGTTTGCTCAGTAAAACTAAATTGTAAGAGACATGTGCTTGCACAGAAAGCTCCGAAAAAACCTCAACATCACAAGATGTTATTCAGGCTTGTGGAAAGACAGTTACTGTAGCAGTTAGTGTCTGTCAGGCTATCAGGACGGGTGATAAAACAAAGAGAAATTCCTAAGTGGTGTGCGTTAAGTGACAATGCTCTGGTTCTACAACTTTTTTGCTTTCCTTGTCTTTTTCACCAGATGCATGAGGAATTAGGAAAATCATCAATGTCAGGTGTGTCCCAGCATCTCTTTCTACTTCCACTCTTTTTGGTTTCACCTTAGAACACCTCTATTAGTTATACAAGCATATTCAGCATGTGAACTGCCTTTTTTTTTACAAGCTATGACTCTAGAGGCCATTAAAAAAACTCAGCTTCCACACTATGTCTATATTTTACCCTTCTTGTCTAAAAGTGCACAGTGCAGATGAATTAACAATGAAAAGTGAGAGTTAAGAATATGTGAAAAATGTGAAAAAGGAACATTTTCAAATACAGTAAATACACTTTTAGCCACCCAGAATCTAAATGCCACAGTTACTGCTGGAATAGACCAGAGCTGGAGCCCAGAGCTATTATGGAGTATGAGTAGTCTGCCTCATACTTTGCCTGCAACCATAAATAAAATGTTAGAGAACAAAGCCAACACTTCAAAGGTCATTACAAAAATACTTACCACTGTGGTACTATGTCTATGTTACAGCCTACGTTTTGGCTTATTTTGAAGCTTCACTCTGAAGGTCATGGTCTCCTAAAATACTATTTAAGTGATTAAGTGATTTGTAAATTATGAACACCACTTTCAATTTTATTGTATAACAACCTGGAATACAATGGAACTACTTAGTAACAGGAAATGTGGCAGTTCTTCTGTTTCTTGATATAATCTATTAACTGCATTATGAATGGGGTACAGTTTGACAGTTTTTTTGGAAAGGCCAGATAAAATAATTCAACAGTACTTCAAACATGAGATGAAAACACGAATGAATGCAACACAACCTCTAGATCTCGCTATTTGTTTTAGATGGGTTGAGTTGTTGCTTTGATATGCTGCTCTTTATCACCCAAAGAAGCAAACCACACAACTTCTTTCCTCCTTTTTGAATTACAGCATCACTATCTCGTCTTCATATACAGCAGCTGAATTCACATTTAATCTTTTACGTGCCCCAAGCATTGACAAAGTAAGTCTATAAAAGCATAGTCATTTGTTTAAAAAGCAAAGAAAACATTGGCAGCATTTGGGTAGATCAGGAGGGCAATCATACTGTTTGGTCAAAAGGCAGCACAACAGGTCATACAATAGAAGGGTGTCCTACAGACAACCACAGCAAAATTTCTAATGTGAAAAAAGGTTGAAAATTACTGTATATGAATTTATGCTAGTGTCATGTAATCGAATATATTGCAGCACTATTTTTAAGAATCTGTCTCTACAATATTTGGCCTTTTCCTTGAGGTTCTATGAAACAGTTGCATTGAAAAAAGCCTCCATCTTTTCTTAATCAGCTACTGTACAGGCTAAGTTGTAGCCTCTCTGTGTGCATGTGCATGGGGAGCAGGATTGTGTTGAGCTAAGTACTTTAATGTACGTTTCTTCTCGGTCAGAAAGGCACAGCTGCAGCTTAAGTTGGCAAGGAGCCAGCTGAGAAAACCTGAGGCAGGGGAGAGGGGTCGGAGAGAGAGAGAGAACCACTGGGGTGGGCTAAGCCCCAAACTAGCTGTTGGCTTCGTTCCTGAGGAAACACTTGGGAGTGAGAAGACTGAAGGTAGTTTTACTGCATGTAAACACCAGATTTCCTTCATATGTCCTTTTCCCTTATTTCACAGTTCATAAACCTGCAACATTTACTGGTAGTTCATTTTATTACCTCTGAAAAAATGTAATGAGATGCCTAATATTAAATTTATGTATCCCAAAAACTGACAAATGTGGCTGATATCAAAGTGCCTGTTGGCAAATTGTTTGTAAAAGCAATTACGAGGACATAATAAGGAACTGAAATGGCAGAGAAACAAATACTCTAAAATTCACTTGATTTCCTGAAGTTATCACAAAATGGTAAAGTGTGTACTTGATGAAACCTAAAATCACTTTTGTATCCACCACCAAGATGATGATATATTGGATACATCACCACATACAGAGAGATAGTGTTGAGTTACATCATTTTGAAGACTATATGTATTCACAATCTACTGCACATGTTCATTAGACTGGGTAAAATCATTATCAAATTGATTAACTTTGTTTATCTAATAATTTTTTAAGCTTTTTGATGTGGAATCCCAGTATCAAAGAGCAGTAGCTGACAAGTTCCCAACTCAGACCAAATGTTTTCCATAATTTGAACAATCTCTTATACTGTAAAAGGGCACCAAAGTGGCTCAAATCTCCCAAAGTTTCTTCTGTTTAGTGATTCTGAAACTTAACTCTGGGCTGTATTGATTTTCAAAGCTAGGTTTCAAAACTGAGTTAGGAGGAAATGTGAGGATTCAAAATCAGGGAGTGAAACTATGGGAGAAACAGAGGCAATAAACAACCAAGACCCCTGGATTTTACTGCCTCATCTGCTTTGCATGAATACAGTGTATGTGCATGCTAACAGACACTGTCTCCTGTCATAATTCCATGATTAATCTGCTGACACACATCAGGCCAATTCATGTACAACAGTAATTGAAAAAATCTGTCTGCTCAGTGGAGCCGAATTGAACCAATCAACAGGGGTACAGCTTTGGTGACAAATCTGTCCAACAAGATCAACCATGCAGGAAAATGCCAGGGAATTTTTTAATGGGCAACAACAATGGAAACTAAGAGACAAAACATATGGCATCTAATGTGATCTAGATGGCTGAAAATACCAGGGGCATGTGGAAACTGGTGAAACATAAAGCTTATTCAGAGACCACCTCTCCTGTAAAATGTTTCACTTACCCTGACTTGTCCTACGAACAAATTTGCCTGTTCTTCTTGCACTGTAAAATTAGTGGGCATGGTGATGAACACAGGGTCATTATCGTTGACATCAGTGACGACTATGTTCACAGTAGTAGTAGATGTCTAAAGAAAAAAAAACAGTAAAGTCTTATGTTATTCAGTGTTCATTTATATTAAAATACAGAGATCATAAAAACAGCACAGACATAATACAGTTTGGCTATAATGTGAACCAACATTTAAATCAATAAGTTTTGTGAACAGACAATATTAATGGTAAAATAAAAATAAAAATGACTAAAATGCAAAACTGTTATTGATGTCAGACATTTCCCCATCAAGAAATAACTGCCATTTAAAATGAAAAACTTTCAAAAATAAAACTTTGTTTGCAGAAAAATGCAGAAAAATTGAACACAAAACATATTGTTACTAAAGACAGGAAGATGGGAGGTGCTGCCAACTGAGCAAAGCAGGGCTATCTCCAGGAAACTGGTTAGCAGATGTGCCAAGATGTATTTTATTCTGCACAAGGAAGCCCACTTTAGAGTGCACTAGTAGACTCAAGGATAAGGATAATCATCTTTATTGGCCAAGTATGCTACACACAAGGAATTTGTTTCTGGTACAAAATCGATGGCAGCCATCTGCGGTGCCACCTCAACTGATGGCTCTAACCATCAGGGGCAACGGGGGGGTTCAGTGTCTTGACCAAGGACACTTCGACATGTGGACTGCCGGCAGTAAGAGTTGAACCTTCAACCTTTTGGTTGGGAGACGACTGCTCTACCACCGCACCGTTATCACCTCAAATGACTCCATTACTAATGTAAATAAACTCTAGACACAGAAAAATGATTACAGACATTAACCAGTGCAAAAGTGAAAGATAAAATTATTAAACACATGGAAGAATGTCTATATGTACCTACAAACTATTTGTGATATTAAGTGGAATTTAGCGCTTTGCTTGCTAAGGCACAGCAACTTCACTTTTAAGACAGAAATAAACATTTTATCTGCAATTAATACATACCCTCGGAGCGCATATTGACCTTCTGCATTCCTGTTGGAGCAGATGCACCGATGATGCATGAACGCATGACTCAGATCCTCAACATCTTCTTTCCTACTCTATACTTTTACTTTTAAAGCCAAGCTTCAACATGCCAAGGATGACAAACTCAGTTTCTCTACAAACATATTAATATTTGCACTTTTTGTGGAATTAATGGATGTCATAGTTGCAGACATTTTACTCATGTTTACAGTAAATGTAATTGTGTGTTTTGCATAATGATCTGTGATCTCAAAGCTCACTGGGTAAAGCAAATTCCCTGCTGCATCAGTTGAGGTGTTTGTTCACTTATATGGGCCGACTACTGCCGTTAACCTTCAAACAATGACACAGCTACAGCACTATTATAAATCAACATGGGAAAACGGATGGATATGCAAAATCTATAATCTCTAAGTGCACTGGAATGAAGCTGTATTTAAGTAGTGGTGTAAATGGCCTCTTCTGGGGGAGGAAGGATGGGTGACAGCTGTTTAAAGATGCTCTGGCATATAATACTTTCAGCGGCAAGTCAAACGACCTAGTTAATGTCACCTTCATCTAACTGTCCATAGGGAATCCCTTCACCATTGTTGTTTTCTTCTTTGTTCTGTCTTCTGGAAAGTACATAATCACTTCTTTCATGTACAAACTCACAAGGCAACCCATGCTGAAAACCAGCACACTACATGCATCCTTTCCTTTTTCACTCTTAAAAACAAGGGTGTAAGAGGATGCTGCTCACATCAGTGTGTTGATAGGATCTACTTATTTTTCATGTCATAGAAGACTCAAAGCCAATTAGCATCTCCATCCTGGTGTGGGTGTTTATTTATTTTTTTAAATCAAAGTCAAAACTCCCATCTCTACAGCCACAACTGATTAATGAGCTGCTATTATTCAGTTAACATAAACTAGACTGAGCTCTGTGATGTTCCGTCCTCTGTCCTCACTGTCTGACAGATCCAGACGTGGCTGATGGTGCTTTGCCTTTTAAGTGACAACCCTAACAAGCATCCATGTTGCAGGAACTGATATGACCAGGCTATTACAAGTTGTGCACTCCATTCTCTGAGGGGAAGCTTTATCCAGAATCCCTGAGTTTTGAGATCTGAGTTTACAGTTGTGGTTACTGTTTGTACTGTCAAGAATACAAATTTGGAATCTGTCACAAAGATGAAAACAATTTGCTTAATACATGAGTAGCTGCAACAGTTTAAATTTATCAAGTATTATGAAGAAAAAGTTCATATGTACATGTGTGTGTGTGTGTGTGTACAGATTTAACTATATTCAAAGAGAAGCAGCGTAGGGGGTGGCGGTTTGCTTTTTATGGCAGGCTAATTACACATCCGAATCCCCGGCGTCATTCCCGCAACTTTCTCTTATCTATCTCCTTCGCCTGCGCTTATTTTGACCCTTTGTTTCCAGCCTTTATCCCAACAGTCCGTACTCCTCTCCCACATTCAACTTCCTGTTATAAAAGCATTTCTCTCTACCTATGACATTTACCTCACACGAGTCAGCCAGTAATCTACTGTGCACAAAACACACACAGACACAAACACTGCACTGGTAAAGGGTGCTGGTCTGTCCATCAATATTAGGACAAAGAGCGCCAGATTGTCGTTATCTCATTCTGTGAGGTGAAGCCCCATCTTAAACTCTATTTATTTGCTGTTTTCTCTCTGAATCTGACACTGTGCAGCTTCTCTGCCCCTCTTAATCTAACTGTTACATGGCGGTCTCTCTTTGGATTTCTACAGTTGTCAGGCACTCACAAATACTGGAGCACAGACAGCACATACAGTACGCTACTTATACTCCACTTAACCAACACTTGTGGTCTGTCAACAGATAAAATAAAAAAAAAAAAAAAAATAGCTGGAGATCTGAGCATTTATTCATGCGTGGGTAAGGAGGGGGAATCAACATCATTCTTTTGACAGCTCATCAGCTAATGTTTGATACTCATCACACACAGCATCTTAAAAAGGGGAAACCATATTTCACCTCTGCCTGGAACAGAGACAGCTGGGAAAAAAGAGCCAGCTGATGTGAGGTCTAATTAAATTAAGGTGGTTTATATGATTATCAGCTCTCTGTGAGAGATGGAGTAGCCGGCCTTCACTTTTGCTCATGACGTTTGCTGTTTCTCTATGTTAACTTACAAAGACAGCTCTGTGCGTGTACATACTAAAGAGTCATCTGCTCAACTACATTTATAAAACCAGCTTTTTAAAGGAGCACTCAACTGATATTACACTTTATCAGTTTACTAGTAATGAATAATCTTCTGAGGGTCTGGAGGTGCTTATCTTATTATACTATATCCACTGGCTATTTAAAATATTGCATTAGAGGCATTTATACTGTAGACATTTAGCTTGTTTATGATTTGTGTTTTGCTGTATGTGATTAGCTATAGATAAGCAGTTCTGTAACAGTTTTTAATAAACCTAATTGGGACCAGGACAGCTATGACTTCTGATTGGTTAACAGGATCTAACAAGTTGCCCACACTTGTTAGTGAGTTTAGTAGAAGCTACGGAGCATTGGAGAGCACACTAGTCTTTGACCATGCTTGCTACCTAAAGTTTGATTTGATTTGATTTATTCTTTCAAGCATGTAAAGACAGTTGATATGATAACACACATAATTTTACACATATCCAACAAATGCTAATCCAATATCAATTTGCTTATACCTAGTACATGCTTGAATGGAGTAGGAAGAAGTCAGACTTATCCAGTCCTACCCCATGACATCATCTTACCATCACTGGTTTGCAAGCAGTAAATAATTCTCTTCTACACCACACAAGTACAGTGGTGTGAAAAAGTGTTTGCCCCCTTACTGATTTCTTACCTTTTTGCATGTTTGTCACACTGTAATGTTTCAGATCGTCAAACAAATTTATATATTAGTCAAAGATAACACAAGTAAACACATCATGCAGTTTTTAAATGAAGGTTTTTATTATTAAGGGAAAACAAAATCCAAAACTATATAGCCCTGTGTGAAAAAGTGTTTGCCCCCTAAACCTAATAACTGGTTGGGCCACCCTTAGCAGCAACAACTGCAATCAAGCGTTTTCGATAACTTGCCATGAGTCTTCCACAGCGCTGTGGAGGAATTTTGGCCCACTCATCTTTGCAGAATTGTTGTAAGTCAGCCACATTGGAGGGTTTTCGGGCATGAACCGCCTTTTTAAGGTCATGCCACAGCATCTCAATTGGATTCAGGTCAGGACTTTGACTAGGCCACTCCAAAGTCTTCATTTTGTTTTTCTTCAGCCATTCAGAAGTGGACTTGCTGGTGTGCTTTGGATCATTGTCCTGCTGCAGAACCCAAGTTCGCTTCAGCTTGAGGTCACAAACGGATGGCCGGACATTCTCCTCCAGGATATTTTGGTACACAGCAGAATTCATGGTTCCACTTATCACAGCATGTCTTCCAGGGCCGGAAGCAGCAAAACAGCCCCAGACCATCACACTACCACCACCATATTTTACTGTTGGTATGATGTTCTTTTTCTGAAATGCGGTGTTACTTTTACGCCACACATAATGGGACACACACCTTCCAAAAAGTTCAACTTTTGTCTCGTCTGTCCACAGAGTATTATCCCAAAAGTCTTGGGGATCATCAAGATGTTTTCTGGCAAAACTGAGACGAGCCTTTATGTTCTTTTTGCTCAGCAGTGGTTTTCGTCTTGGAACTCTGCCATGCAAACCATTTTTGCCCAGTCTCTTTCTTATGGTGGAGTCATGAACACTCACCTTAACTGAGGCAAGTGAGGCCTGCAGTTCTTTGGATGTTGTTGTGGGGTCTTTTGTGACCTCTTGGATGAGTTGTCGCTGCGCTCTTGGGGTAATTTTGGTCGGCCGGCCACTCCTGGGAAGGTTCTCCACTGTTCCATGTTTTCGCCATTTGTGGATAATGGCTCTCACTGTGGTTCGCTGCAGTCCCAAAGCTTTAGAAATGGCTTTATAACCTTTTCCAAACTGATAGAGCTCAATTATTCTCTTTCTCATTTGGTTTTGAATTTCTTTGGATCTCGGC